TGCAACCTGAAATTTTTAAAGATTATTATCAACATGCAACTAGAAGTTTGCAGGATTATTTGTGCAAATAATTTGATGAAGAATATAGTTTTCAAATTATGCTATTAAGACAATTTATCTTAAGAATAATGGTGAATTTACACATCAGCCTTTAACGATTAAGACATGTGTTAATTGAAATAATTTAGGGCAACCTATTGTTGCTTTTATTCATGCTCAAAAATGATTTATACTCCATTCATTTCCGTAAAATAATTTACAGAAAAATAACTTGCTGAAAATATTTTTATGGAAAATATTTTCCTTGAAAAATATTTTTCAAATGACTTATTTTCTGCTGTTTGGTTGTAACGTTGAAAATTAATTAAAAACATTAAAGTCTTTATCTCATAAGACCATAAAAAAATTAATAATAATATAAATTTTATAATTTAGAAATTTTATTGTTTTTTATAATTAGAAATTTTATTTTAATAAGACGAATAATTGGCAAAAAGAAAATGTAAATTATAAAGTCGTCGGAGGCGGTGGTTGATCGGTGGTAAAATTAGTACTGGTAGTAGTGACTGTGATGATATAATAACTAAAAAAATATGAATTATAGGTTACCAATTTCAAAAATGTTTACTCTCTCGAAAATGAGAAGTTGTTTTCCTTAAAAAAACTTAATTAATAATAATATAAATTTTATAATTTAGAAATTTTATTGTTAAATAAGACAATAATGCAAAAAGAAATGTAAATTATGAAAGTCGTCGGAGGCCGGTGGTGATCGGTGGTAAATAGTGACTGGTAGTAGTGACTGTGATGATTAATAAACTAAAAAAATATGAATTTATAAGGTTTACCAATTTCAGAAAAATGTTTTACTCTCTCGAAAATGAGAAGTTGTTTTCCTTAAAAAATACTTAATTTTCCTTTGACTAGGAAAATATTTTCTATTGACTTATTTTCCTAAATGCCTCAAACAACGAAAAATTGTGAAAAAATATTTCCTTATAAGTTATTTTACGGAAACAAATGGAGCCTTAGTAGAATCATTTATAAATGATTGGAATTAATTGCAAGACAATTATTATGAGAAAGAATCCCCCTATTTTTTAGAGGGACATGCTATTAAATTTAATAGAACTTACTCGCATCAAGGCAATAAATTATTTTATAAGTTCTTCCCTTTATAATTGATTTTAGATCAGGAGCCAAATATTATCTATTGAAGAATTTATTCTACTCTGTGTATATATATACTAGTAATTATTTTCGCTATTAAATTGTGTTATTATTTTTAAAAATATTTAATTTTTGTGAAAAAGGAAATAATTGAAAATATTTTAAGGGGAAGTTTTAGCATATAATAATATTTAATTTTTATTTATTTGAGTGTTTAAGAATCAAATTATTTGAGATTAAAAAAAAATTAATTGTTCAAATATGTTTTTGTACATTGCATGCATGTATATATAATGTGTCATTAGTTTATTATAATCACTAGATTATTTGAAAGGGAGCAAAAATGAAAGACAAATCAGACTGAATAATAAAATTATTCATCAAAATAAATTCAAAAAATCATAAATCATATCAAAATGCCTAAACAAAAAAATTTAAATATCGGAAGGAAACTTATGCCTAAATATGTCTCATAATGTCATTTTTCATTTCATAAAAATCATTAAAAAAGTTTCTTTCAACAGAGATGAAAAATATAAAATCAGTTTCCACCAATACCTGTAATCAATGGTGTTATTCTTAGTAGAATTTCATCCATAGAGGCACATAACACATAGACCATCTGAATCGGCCGGAAGCAATGTGAAACCATTTCTATTGATTGAGATTTTATTAACAACAATGTCAATTTGTATATATGTTGCACTACCTAATAAAGGACATGAATCATTAATTGTAAGCTTGAAGGCTAGAAAAAGGAATTACATAATTAATCTAAAGCTAAATCACCAAAAAAAAAAGTCTGAACTTCAATATTTTTCTTAAATTTTAGCTGATACTTTTAATTTTATCAATTATATCTCAGGCTTATTTTTTCTTGTCAAGTACGGTTTTGGCCAGAATCCATTAGTTTGTTGCTTATTAGGCCATTAGTTGGCCTCACAGCAGGTCAGGTCACATCCACATACAACACATCAGCTTACATCCACGTGGTAGTTCTTTGGTGTTCATCCTTGCTTTTATAATTTAGAAGATTGATTTTTAAGACAATCTTCTTCCCATCCCTCTGCAAATTTGAAAAAAATTTAGTGCAGGTTTACAATTAATAGATTCTTGATGGACCCTCAACAAGCAACTCGTACCGTCTGTAATCCCAAGATCAATTGGTTTCTTCAGTCTCGAAGCTGCATCATTTAACCGCACCCAGTTGTACTCTAGACAAAAGCCAGAATTAATAATAAAAAATAAGTATATAGTATTGATTCATAAAATTAAAAGTATTATTAAACTTTAAGGTGTTTATTACTATTGTGGTTTATAGTTTTTCGTTTAATTTTAGTAAAAACAAAAATAAAACGTGTTTATTGTAAAAGTGTTTAAATTTACTTTGTAACTTCTTTCAAAATGGTTTAAAAAACAAAAAACATATTTTGTGAAACTACAGACGCTATTTTTTTTTTTTCTTTAATATGCTTCTCTCTTCTCTCTCATACAAGTCTCTCTCCCATATGTCTCTCCTACAAGTCTCTGTAATAGAATAATTCATTTATACTAAGCTCTAGTTTTTAATGTGAATATATTACATTGTATTAATTCTCTTCTAACTAATTATTTTTGGTATGTTCACAAACTAAACCATCAGTTAAACCTTGAACTTCACAAATTGTAACTGTTGTACCCTAAAATGACCTTAATCTCGCAAGCACCCCAACATTATCTTTTTATAACAATTACACTCCAATTTCAATCCGGTAAAAATTACATAATAAAAAATATTTTCGTGGATCCCACACCTATCCCTTGAGTTAGCTAACCCAAAGGAACAGTTAACCCAAAAATCAGTGCGTTAATGAAACTCTGAAAATGTTTTTTCTCTTTCGTTCATCGTCGACCTCTTTGCTTCAGGTCCAGTCAGTTATTAAATCTCTAATTCTTATCACTCATCTCTTCAACATAAATCTAAACCTTTTTTAAGAAGCCACAGCGATTTGATTGACATTTAATCAGTTTAGAAGGGTTCGCACATTTGAAATGGGAAGGGAGAAAGCCAAAAGAGATTGGTATGAGTTCGAATCTTGCTCCTTTAATGGAATTATTTATGTGTTTGTGGATTTAAGCTATTGATATGGACAAAAAAAATAACACTAATTTGTCTTTATAACCATTTTTTTGCATGTGGTTGTATTGGGTTTAAACTTTAGGGGATTTAGGGTTTGGTGAATAAATTATTGCATTTTATTTGGTGAGTGCATAGACAACGACTCGATCAATTGGATATCTAGTTCGACTCGATCCGAATGGAGCGGATAAAATCTGATTCATTTACCGGTGGATCGGATATGGATTTTTAAAATATAATCCCCATGGATATGGATATAGCATAATCCAATATGTGAAAAATAATATTACTTTTTTCTTATATTTCTAAAATTGTTAATTGTAATTCTAGATGTGTAGTTGCGTTTATTCTTCTCTTTCTTCTTTCTTTTCCATTTATATTTTAAATTATCACCTCCAACTCTTTCACCCTTTTCATATTTTTTTTCAATCTCTACTTCAAACAAAAGAATATGAGTTAAACATTACGACCACTAGCATGATTTTTTTTTTTTTTTGTGCTTAACAATTTTTAAAGTCCCTTCTAATTGTTATAGTATCTAATATTTCCAATTACTATTAGAAATTTTTGTATTTTCAAGCACAATAATAATATGATTTTTTATTAAATTATTGTTCTATTTTTATTTTTCTTTTAAACATAATAAAAAAATAAATAATATTCGATCTGACATTCGATCCAATCCCAATTCGAGTGGATTGGATATGGAGATTGATATATGAAAATCTTCGCTGGATCAGATATAGATTTTGCATAATCCAATCCGGATTCGATCCATGATTATCCTAAGTGAGAATTAAAGGAATATGGAGAAATACAAGCCTGCTTCATATGGTGCATTTGAATTAACTATTCCTTTGGCTTAGCTAACTCAAGGGATAGGTGTGAGGTCCACGAAAAATATTCTTTTTATCGTGTAACGTTGAAGTCTCTTCTAATTGTTAGTATATAATATTTCCAATTATTGTTAGAATTTTTTGTGTTTTCAAGTACAATAATAATATGAATTTTTATTCTATTTTTTTCTTTTAAACATAATAAAAAATAGATAATATTCAATCTGATCTGACATGCAATCCGATCGCAATTCGGATGGACTGATTATGGACATTGATATATGAAAATCTTCGCGGATCGGATATGGATTTTGCATAATCCGATCCAAATTCGATCCATGATTATCCCTAAGTGAGAATTGGAGGAAAAGAGAGAAATACAAGCCTAATTCACACAATGCATTTTGGGTTACCTATTCCTTTGGATTAGCTAACTCAAGGGATTGGTGTTAAATCCACGAAAATATTTTTTTATTATATAATTTTGACCGAATTGGAATTGGGGGTGCAATTGTTATAAAAAGATAATTATGGGGTGCGTGGGAGGTTATGTAATTTTGATCGGATTGGAATTGGTGTGCAATTTTTATAAAAGATCATTCTGAGGTACCTGAAGGGGTAAAATCATTTTAGGATACAATTATTAACTTTCATAAAGTTTAGTATTAAGATTATTTTAGGATACAAATAAGATTATTTTAGGATACAATTATTAACTTTCGTGAAGTTCGGAGTTTAACAGATGGTTTAGCCATTTTCAGGTGGGTCTATTTCTTTTAACTTAACTTTGGGCTTCATCTGATATTAGTCCAATTAGTTAATGGATCTTATGTAACCTTGGGCCCAATTGCATTTGTCTTTGGTTTTAACCTAGCAGCTTCGATGTCTCTTCATTCTCACCGATACCAAACCCTAGTGAACCATAGCGCCGCTCTCATCTGTTCTCTTATCAAGCCTAGCTCTGTTCACATCAACAACCCTTTAATCTTCGCCGTCCGTCTTCAACCCTTCAACCCATTACCTTGTTCACATACTGACTGAAGTTCTGCTATCAGACCTAATGATTTGTTCTTACTAACCATGGGTAAAGATTATTTAAGTTAGGTCTTCGGATGGCTACTGAAGATTAGGTTCTTGACTTGTATATATTTTTTTTTTTGTTTTTTTCCACATTGATCTGCATTTATCTTATCATGCATTTTTTTGACTTTGCTAATTTTCATAAAATCTTTTGTCATTTTTCGTGGGTGCTTCTTTGCAGAAGCATTTAACTTGGACCTGATGGAGCAGGTTAGTAAAAGATTTGCATTTCTATATTTATAGGATAGTAAATTGTGATTTCCTATGTGCATTGTAATTTGTTTACTTATTGTAGTGTTCAAATATGGCAGTATGAGAAAGTTGAAAAGATTGGTGAAGGAACGTATGGAGTGGTATACAAGGCTCGCGATCGTACAACCAATGAGACTATAGCTCTGAAGAAAATACGTTTGGAACAAGAAGATGAAGGTGTTCCTAGCACTGCAATTCGAGAAATTTCCCTCTTAAAAGAGATGCAGCATGGCAACATTGTAAGGTATAATTGATTAAATTAAGCTTTGGGGCATAGTTGCTTCAATAAAATACTTGAAACTTGTTGTGGATAAGAATATCTAGACATGGTTACAATACTTTGAAACTTTAATTCAGTGGGAAACTCTGTGAAAGAAAAAAAAAAAAATACAAAAGGCAAGCCTGATAGCCAGACATATTACTGTATTGTATAATTTGTCTTCAAGGTCACTGCAGGTTTGAAAACAGTACCTCGGCCACCTCTTTGTCTGCCTTGTATTTTCATTTCCCTGACTAGGTTTCTTTACAAATAAACTGCACAAATACTCTAATGTGGGTGAAAGCTTCTTTTAAATTCTGCTGCAGTATTATTATCAGGAGTGTGCATTTGTTTTGTGTGTATCTCATGTATGTCAAAATTGGTAAGGCTCATGATGGTTAAGCTATCATATAAGGTCTGATATCAATGTTCTATTTTGTAAGTCATTCATTTAAAGCTTAAACTGCTTCTTTAAAGACTACCATAGAGGCATGGAAAGCCTCTGGGTTCTGGTAGATATAAGCTATCTCGATTGCTGATATGACTTTATTCCACTTTTTCGTTGTATTTCAATAAAACAATACTATTCATAGTTAACAATGCTATTCATAGTTATTGGCACACCTTGGCGCAAGGCGCTTTTATTTGCTTTGTATGATTTTTTTTTTTTTTAATTCCTTCCTAAGTTGTTTCATCTAGACACTCCTTTGAAATATTTTAGGGACTGACATACCTTGTATGCATACAAGTTATACATGTAAAAGGAATTTATGAAAGATTACAACTCTTTTTCAAAGAAATAGGCTTGGGTTGTCACAAACTGACCTTCCTATTTTTGATGAATTGAGTTCGCTTTTTAAGATTTAATTAAACTCCAGTTAACAATTATTCTTTTCTTCTTTCTCTCTAACTTTACTATTCCTATGAATTGGCTGACATGATTTGACTATCCTAGATTTTGTATGATCCTGTAGTCGTGGCCTTCCTTTTCAGATTTAGTGCAACTTTCTAAGTTGCATGAACACTCTGAAAGGTTTGATGTACCCATGTCATAGTGTTATAATACATCGACCCCTCTATTACACTCTCAAACATGTCTTAGGTACTCTGGAGCAAATATCCTGTTGTTTTTTTAATTTTATTAATTCTGGACACTGCAAGGATGTCTCTAGGACACTTTTTGAGGACACTTCTTAGATATTTTAAGAACATATTTGAAAATTTTATCAGACTTGTTGATAAATTCATTAATTAAAAATTCTAATTGTGGTCTTAAATATAAACTAGATAATTATTTATATTTAAATAGAAATTAAAAGATAAATGAAAGAAGGGAAAACCCTATCTTATTATTTATAAGTTGTAACTTTATTACATATCTATTACTGTCAAATTCAAAAGCTAATTCCTGAGGTTGATTTGAAATTCAGGAATTCACAAGGTTTTTATTATAGCATTCTTTGGCTTTTATCAAGAAAATTTGACAATATTATTTTGAACAAATTAAAATGCGAGACATTGCAAGAGATAAATCTGACTCTTTTGAAGATGTTGGAATTCTTGAAATTACCAATTTATCTCTAGATGATTTTAATAATAATATTAATGTTGAGGATTAACTAATGATGTTAAAAGTAGGAATTAAGTGTTCTTTATTTTACGTTTATGACTTGTTATAAATTATTCTTTACTTATTTTATTTTTAATAAACTATATCTATTTAGTGCAACGTGTCTTGTCCAACTTTTTGAAAAATTGATGTATCTTGTGTCCGTGTGTGTTGTTCCTTGTGTCCTATGTCCACATCCATGCAACTTGAGCATTTTTATTACCTTTTTTCAGAGGAGCAACATTATTACCATTAAAAGACAATTTAACACAGATAGTTTTGATTTTGTTTTGATTTTAAAAAGCCAGAAAAATTCTTAATGTTGAATTTTATTAATATGACTATATGTGTAGTTATTTTTTATAGTATTTATTCTCGTATTATATTTTTTTTGCTCCTCATGTCACGTGCCAGCACTATGCACCTTACTGCAGGACCCATTTGCGCATTAATGCACCTTCTGCCTTCAATAACTTTGATGCTATTGGAATACTTCATATGCATCTTCTCATTTTCAAAATATGTGGATGCTGTCAACTGGATAAGGCGTTGCACCTTCACCTATTCATGCTCCAGCAATGAACAGATAAAATTACTTTTGCAATTTATAGAAATTTGGTTATAGACATCTGCATTTCTGTGTGCTTGTGAGAATTTTATTGCCCATAATTTTACTTTCATGTATTTCATTATTCTAGACCTTTTACCTTTGGGGCTTTGTTAGCATTAGCAAAGGATCAACATGACATGCACATGAATATACTATTGGTGGCATAACTTCCTAAAAGCTTTCCCTTATTAGGTTACTGAAATTGGCACCACTCAATAAATTTTTCTTCCCCCAGCCAAACATTGTATTTGGTTTACTGAATTATTTGTATATTTCCTAAATATCAAGTTTTCTCATGTAATATCTCTTTATTTTCCTCTGTAACTTTAACAAGATATCTGATTGATATTGTGGTGACAGGTTACAGGATGTAGTTCACAGTGAGAAGCGCCTGTATTTGGTATTTGAGTATCTAGACTTGGATTTGAAGAAGCACATGGATTCTTGTCCTGAATTTGCTAAGAATCCTCGTTTGATAAAAGTGAGGGAGATTTTACCTTTCCTTTCAGAGATTTATGCTTTCTTTATTTTATAGCATTATTCTATGGTCAAATTAGCAATATTTTTATTCATGTGGTTTTACATTATGTTTTCCAGTCTTCTTTGTGGATTTCCTGTTAACATTACCATTATTGCCTTATAGGTTAGCATGACTGATTGAATTTTACATTTTAAATTTTTCATTTATCAGGCTTCAGAATGATGTTGATGGTGATGTTATTTAGGAAGTTATGATTAAGTAATTATTTTCTTGTTTTCTTTACATGCAGACATTCCTTCATCAAATACTCCGTGGCATAGCTTACTGCCATTCTCATAGGGTTCTTCATAGAGATTTGAAACCACAAAATCTGCTTATAGATCGCCGTACAAATGCATTGAAGCTTGCAGATTTTGGACTGGCCAGAGCATTTGGTATACCAGTTAGGACATTTACACATGAGGTATCAATTGCACCAGTTTAGTTTTCTTGGTCTCTCTGTCCTTGCTATATATGCTTGATTAGGATGTCTGAACTGTTTTGATCTAATCCTATCATACGTTTTCTTGATTCTTTGGCTGTGATGCACGGGCATGCGAGAAGCTTGACATTTCCATGTTCCGGAAACATTTCAGAAACAGAAACACCCATAAACGGCTTGGAAACGTGTTGGGTCCATTTCTGTAAATACGGAAAATCGGACACCCGTTTCCCTCCCCAGAAATATTTCTCGCATTAAAGAAAAAAAATCAGATTTCAAATCCAAATCAAATTTGGATGATTTGCAAATCCTATTTGGGAAAGGACAAATAATCGTACTTTTAATTTTAATATTCAAACTTCAAATTTAACAGAATTTCAATATATTTTTCAATTTTGACATTGAATATGTTGTTTTCTTTTTTCTTTATTGAGTATGGAACTTATAAACTTTTTTTTTCTCTCTTTTGGATATGATTTATTTTTAGTTATAGTTAGAAAAATTTATCTATGGTTGATTGTCCTTTAAAAATTATAAACGCACTCTTTCTAAATTATTTTTATATTTATTCCTATATTTTTAAATTTTATAAATAAATCCCTGTATTTTTTATATTTATTAGGCAAAATCCTATTTTGGCGAAAGGACCAAATAAATCGTACTTTAAATTTTAATATTAATTCAATTTAACAGGGAATTTTTGCAAATGTTCGTCACAATTTTGACATACGCTTGTATATAGCTTTTATCTTGCAGCTATCCTAGGAATCGACTCCAACAATACATCGTGTGTCTCGATGTCTCCTAGGGCATACCATATGTATTATATATCTTATGTTATTTCATAACTATAATATTATGTTTCTAATACACAATAGATATATGCACTCTGTCCTTTAAAATTATAAACGCACTCTTTCTAAATTATTTTTTTTATATTTATTCCTATATTTTTAAATTTTATATAAATAAATTCCCTGTATTTTTTATATTACACATTTCCCCCATTTTTTTGTTTTCTTATATTTTTTTTAAGCTGATAGATTCCCCATCTCGCCCAGTGTGAGGTTCGTCGTTTATCTCTACCTCCTAAGGCCTGACTCGTTTACATTTCCGTATATACGCTCTCATAGAACTTACACGACCCTTCTGATGTTCTCTCACTTACCACCTATAACTGAGAATGACAATCTTAAATATTATGAGAAGAAATGGTTGATTGTCCTTTAAAAATTATAAACGCACTCTTTCTAAATTATTTTTATATTTATTCCTATATTTTTAAATTTTATAAATAAATCCCTGTATTTTTTATATTTACACATTTCCCCCATGTTTTTGTTTCTTATATTTTTTAAAATGCCATTTCCCTGTGTCCGTTTCCCTGTTTCCTCATTTCTCTGTCCGTGCATCATAGTTCATTGGTATAGCACTGCAAATTTTGAGTTATCCTTTTCAAACTGAGAATGACAAGCTTTAAATATTATGAGAAGAAAGGCAGAGTGCTAATTATTGTTCGGTTGGCAGAGTGCTAAATATTTGTGCTTCTCCTGTACTTCAATTAGTATAAGGTAGTTTCTCTTATTACATCCTATTAGAAAAAATCTTTAATAAGCATAGAATGTTAGCTTGATTTCTACCTCATTAAGAGAGAAAACACACACACACACACACACACACAAAGGAATTATCTATGGTTTACTAACCTGAAAATAGCCACTTCAAGGTATGAGTTGGTACTGTTTGGCCCAAGTCTCTTGAGTTGTCAAATCTTAGCCCTTTCTCAGTCCAGATGCATAAATATTCCCTCTGCAAGGTATGTTGATTCCGCATGGGAATGTGTAGATCCTTCTGGATTTGGCTAAATAATGATGTCAGATACCTTGATGAACATCAACTCTTCGCCCTACCACTTTTCTTTTTATTTAACTTTTGATAGTAAGATAACTGCAATTGCTAGTGATCTTTTTAATGCATATAAACAATATCATTGATATTGGTGACTAGTGGTTACAATGTTTTGGTGCCTCTAGGTGGTAACCCTGTGGTATAGAGCACCAGAAATACTGCTTGGATCTCGACATTACTCAACTCCTGTTGACGTGTGGTCAGTGGGATGTATATTTGCCGAGATGGTGAATCAGCGGCCATTATTTCCTGGGGACTCTGAGATTGATGAACTATTCAAGATTTTCAGGTCTTATGTCTTCTTTATCGTTTGGTTTCCTTGATATTCATGGTTATACATGCCGTTCAAACTTTGCCTAGCTATACTCGATCTATTTTATGCATTCAATCTTCCTGCCAGTTTTGCATTTCTCTGTAAATAATTTTCTTTGAAAGAATATCGCACAGATAATATGGGATAAAAAGTTTAGCATTATCAATCTTAATGAAAATTGTTCGGAGGCACCACATGAAGCTTCCTCTTCTAGCTATATGTGTGGGGTGGTTGAAATTGAAATTTTTTTTTGCTTGTTCCATGATTTGATAATGACTTTGGAACCAAGCTTGAGAATTCAATTGAGAGTTTCTTGGAATTCAACCAACCATCCTAGTGGTTGCATAACTGTCCTATAGTACATGCGATCAAGGTTGCTTTCATTTTCACTTTCTGAACACGCTTGCACAAACAAATATTGTATTTCAAAAACCAAGAAACTATTTGATCTCCATGGCATCCCTACATGCCGTTGAAGTCAAATTATTGTGGAATACAGTTAAAAAAAGAAATGCAAATCTACAAAAATGTGTTTCACTTGGCATTCTACTGCTTGATATTGGTTCATTTGTAGAGTCTTGGGAACTCCAAATGAGGACTCATGGCCTGGGGTGACTTCTTTGCCTGACTTCAAGTCTGCGTTCCCTAAGTGGCCACCTAAGGTCTCGTTCTTTATATTTTCTTTGCATGAATCCAGTTTTTTTCATTTTATTTCTTTTACTTGTCTCTGATATTACTTATATTTTCTTGACAAATCTTATGCGTTCTTTACTTTACAGGACTTGGCAACTGTAGTTCCAACTCTTGATTCTGCTGGCATTGACCTTCTTTCCGTAAGTTCAGGCTTTATATTTACACGCACTCACAAAATTCTCTCTCTAAACTAGAAGTCTGTAATTTGCACTGAAAGTTATTGGAACTCTTTAATAAGTAGTGCTTGGACTTGACAACTACCGATTTTTGTTGCTGCGAACTTGAGTTTAGAGTTGGTTCACCTAATTATTATGATGTGATTGTTTATTTTTTCTGTGCTTTAACTTAATACCATTCTATATTATCAACAATGCCCAGTTTCTATGCAACTAAATTTCGAATCTTTTCAATGCCTCGTGTGCTTTGAACTTGCCAGAAAATGCTATGTTTGGATCCCAGCAAAAGAATTACAGCCAGGAGCGCTCTTGAGCATGAATACTTCAGGGACATCGGTTTTGTACCCTAATTTCACTTCTCATCAAGAATATATATAGATATATATCATTGTATAGCACTTTGGTTGATTTTGATTGTGCGCAAAGCAGGCTTGTTCCCTCCCTGTTATTTGCTCTTCGATTTTATTGGCTTTGAACTGATTCGTTTTGTTGGAATTGTGTAGCATCTATTGTTTTAGAGAGATACAAAGGAAGTACAGAGAGTAAATTTTTGTTATTTTCCTGTTTGCTTGTAATGGATGATACTATGCTTTGATTAACAATATATTCCAATCTTCTCTTTTGCCTGATTAATTTAGCAGAAAATTTTCCTTCAGGTGCTTGTTGGCTTCTTCATTCGTAACGTATCCAGGTTTTTGGATTTCATTGTCTGAATCTTGTTATACATATATATGAAATAGAGAAAGCCTGAACTTTGGCCAATTTTGCAACTTTAGAACTCTTTTAATTTTGGCAATTGTGATAGCGAACTTCATTTTTTTTTTCCGTTGTGATTGTCTGCTAAAAGTTATTGACATCGTCGATAGTGGGTCCATGTTTTGACAGGAAAGAAGGTAAAAATATTTTACCCTTATGAACACATTTGGCTATTTAAAATGTTTTATAAACACATTTGGCAATTTAAAATGTTTTCTAAACACATTTGGTACAATGTTGTTGTATTTAGAATGAAAAAAAATATAGATTTTGAATTTTATGAATTGAATTTTATGGAATTGTGTATGCTTAATTTAAATTTTACTAAAATTGATAGAATTTATAAATAAAGTTTATAAAATTGAATATTGAAATGTTTATTGATAAAATTACATTTTATTATAAATTCAACTATTTTTATTTTTTTCTTATTTATTTATTTTCTTTGGAAAATTTTAAACTATAACCATGTTATTTTTTTAATCCAATAATAACATTAGTTTATGTTTCATTATTATTTTTAAAGTCTAAACTGTGTTTTTTTTTCTAAATTTAGTGATAATGTTAGTTATTATTATTATTATGAAACTATAAAAACTAATGCATTGCTTTCAAATGCAATGCAATTAAATACAATAGTAACATTTTTAATATTTTTTAATTTTTAAATTAATTACTTAAATCAACAAATCTTTTATATCGATTAAAAAATTATTATAATAAATATTACTGTTTATATAATTAATTAATTAACATGGATTATTTGTGTACTTATTTATATGAAATTTATTATTTATATTTTAATAAAAATATGACAAGTTATTATATCATACGTAATAAATATAATTGTATTTATTTTTTGTTTATTAAATTATTATGTCAATGACGTTATAAGAAATAAAAGTAGAATTTATTTATAAATAAATTCTAAAGTAGAATTTATTTATAAACAAATTCTACAATCGTGATTCATTTGTGCCAAATGGATAGTTAGGGTAAAACTAGTTAGAGAAATGAAAATTTACGTAACTTTGTGAAAAATGTTAGTTATCGGTTAGACTTAGGTTATTGAAACGTAAAACAAGTCATTTGTTATTATCTTTTTTTTTTTTTTTAGAGAAAAATGTAGTTACGGTTAGACTTAGGTTATTGAAACGTAAAAACAAGTCATTTTTATAGCTTTTTTTTTTTTTTTTTTTTTAATGTCATTTATTATTAAAATAATATTAACTGTTATCCATATAGTTATACTAAGTATAATGGAAAATTTGTTTTATGGATTCAAAGGACACCGATACAAATTGTTCAACAACAGTAGAAATATCAATAATCACTTTAATAAAAAATTTTGTTAAGCTAATATTTCTCCTCTAAAGTGAAATAAAAGCATATATTTTCTTCTAAGAAGCTTAATTATGTAAATAATATTTTAAAATTATTGTGATTTTATTCATTTAAATTGAAACTCATTTATAGAATGCGATCTTCAAAAAACAATCCAAAACTTAGCACTAATTAGTTAAGTTCAAACATCATAGTATTATAAAAGATAACTCAAAATTTAATTTTGTACTATTTAATTATATAATATGCAAACACTAATAACGAACTGTATTCGTTTATGCTCGTTAAAAATAAAAAATTTTCAAAAATACTATCTATAATAGGATAATTTTTAATCATCCATCTTTATGTGAAATCATATGGATATTTTTTCTAAGCTAAATATATGTATTTTTTTAAAAAAATCTTAAGCTAAATAATGTATTTTTTTAAAAAAATATATAAATATGAGTTTATTATATATATATACTCTATATAGATATATTATATCTTAAAATGAAAGTCAGAAAAAAAATTCAAAAGAGAAATCTTGAAATAGCAATTCATTATTATTGTCATCGTCACCGTCGCGCGCCACATCTCTAAAATACCTTAACCGAATAGTATTTAATATATATTAATCTTAAAATGAAAGTCAGAAAAAAAATTCAAAAGAGAACATTTAAAGCAATTAATTTATTTATCATCATCACCGTCGGCGGCCACCATTTAAAATACCCTTACCGAATAGTATTAAATTTTGTACAGAAGTTAAAGCAATTTAATTTATCATCTACAAACATCATTGCCGGGCAACTACTGTTTAATTCATTTTTTTTATATATAATTTTAAATATAATTTATCATCTACAAAACATCACTGCGGCCCAGTACTATTTAATTCATTTTTAATATATAATTTTAAATATTTTTTATAGTTTTATAAATATAATAAGAAAATAAGAATATAATTATCAATTAATTAAAAAATTAATTTTTGCCTATGCAGGTCGGTTTTATTAGGGCTCTGCATAGTTCCTGAGATTCGAACCAAATTGAAAAACTGTATTGACCAAACCGAAATTAAAAAAAAATTGAGATAATAAGAGATGAACCATACCGAACTGAATGCAATTTATTATTTTAATTTCAATTTCGGTTCTTATAATTGAAACCACACCAAAATTATACTAGAACCGCATGAACCGAATCAAATCGAAAACTGATATATACGCATATTTTTTTCATTAATCTAATCTTTTAAGTATATTATGTTATTTGTATCCGGCAACAAATTTTATTATTTGCAAATAAAATCTCTATTAGTTAATAATTGAGGAGAGAGATTCGAACTTGAATATATTGTCAGATCATATATGAACTTATCAATAATTAGCTATGCCTTTTTTACTTGTAATAAATAATTTCAATTTATACTCCATTTATTCTACATAAAAGATTATATTTGATGGTTCCTATCATCTCTTATTGTATATAATATTCATAAATCTTTATATAATATTTTTGCTATTTTTATAATTTAAATAAAACATGTTTTAATCATTTATTCTTTAGGAAAAATTTATATAGGTTATTCTATCTTTTAAAGTGACAATGAATGTATTGTCACTTTGGAGATTTCATAGAGCTTGTAAGACAATGAGAGATTCTTTTTGTAGACAACAGAAATAAAATTTCATTATTCAATTATTAGTTATGATTTATTGTTATTTGCAACGTTTGTGTTATTATTTTAGAGATTACTTAAAACTTTAAAGATCATGAATCAAAGTTTTTTTTTTTTATAAAATTTCATTATTGACCATTATTTTTTTAATTTCTATTTTAGTAAGAATGTAAGATTTGATTCTTTTTTTAATTAGAATATATTTTAATTTTATTTTAATATTAGAATATTTTTAATTGAATTATGTTAATTATTTTATTTTAATATTAGAATATTTTTATATAAAAGAATATTGTAATGTATTTTAAAAATATAATAATTTTCTATTTTTTTAAAAAATAATAATGTTTTCATCTTTTTAAAAAATAATTTTTAATACAGAACTAGATTCGGAACTAAAATCAAAAGCAAAGAGCCGCAGAATTATACCGAATTTATTTCTCTTAAGAACAATATTAATTAACTAAAAATTAACTAAAATCAATTTGGCCCATGCAGGTTTCGAACCTGCGACCTTCGCGTTATTAGCACGACGCTCTAACCAACTGAGCTAATAGGCCTTTTTGATAGAAATTTTATTACTATATATAAAATATTAAAATATTAAAACAGTCTTTTCTTCCCCTTTTGTTTTTTTTTTTGGTGTCTCTTCATCGTGGATTTTATCATATGGTGATACCACAATTTATCTCCAAACTATGGCCATGTTTTTTTTTTTTTTTTTTTGTGATGACCACAATTTATCTCCAAACTGATAGGCATTTTTTTTTTCGTTGTTTGTTTATCTTTTATTTACCATATAGCTGTGGAGGATTATTGACCTTTATTCACAACGTTTCTGTTATTAATAAACTATTTATTTTTTTTATCTTTGTTAACCTCTTATTAGACCTTTTTTACTTATAGGCGCAAACTTCTTAATCTTGATTGGCCTAGGATGTGGATTTTTGATCGATTTGAGAGCCTGGACGAACTATTCGCATGACCTGACTTGAATGAGGAAATCTTGAAATCAGTAACGTATATGCTGTCAATCCGATTCTAATGTTTCTGACGCCTCGATAGTAAATGGTAGAAACTCTTGTTAATTCTTCTTTCCTCCTACAAAATTAATAAAAAGAATTAAGTTCCAACTAAAAGCATTCTAAAGAAAGTTATTATCTTTTTATCTTTTAGTTTGCTCTTATTCAAAAGAATATGAATTCTTTTTGTATCGCTTCGTTAAAAGATCAACAAATTTATATTAAGGCGATTAAGTAGTAAAATTCTTATGCGCTTCTATTCACATTATTTATAATCGTCGATATATATTTTTAATGAATTTATGATTTATCAGAAAACCTCTTTCTATCATAGTATAAAAATATTATTAAAATAAATATTTTAAAGTTGTGTCTGGAATTTGTCTCTTTTTATTTTGATCCCTCAATGTATTGGAATGAGTATGTCTTTTTCTATTAAATAATTGCTGTAATTTCTAGCGATTCCAAAATATTAAAATAAAGCTTATTTTCGACCATAATTGTTAATTTTTTTCTCTTAATTATCTCTTAAGAATATTATTTCTCAGGTTTATACCATGGAAAATTTTAAAAATTTTTTATCATACATCAAGCAGTAGAAAAAATAAAAATATTGGAGAGTGGTTAAACCCAAAAATGAGGTCTTAACCATCTTAATATTTTTTTTTTTTTTTTTTATCTTTTATTTACCATATAGCTGTGTTGATTGACTTTTATTCACAAAACGTTCTGTTATTTAATAACTATTTATTTTTTTATCTTTTTAACCTTTTATTAGACTTTTTTATAGGAGACTTTAATCTTGATTTGTAGGTGTGGATTTTTGATCGATAGAGCCTGGTAAC